CATAACTTTCCTTTCTAGGGGGGCCCCCAAACGCAAGCGCCGGGGGGCCCCCCCTCTCTAGCCGCCGCATTAACTCATCACATACAGACCGCCACACCAAGACTGCAGCAGCCATAAACCTTTGCTGCTGCTGCTGCTCCTGCTGCTGCTGCTGCTGCTGCTGCTGCTGCTGCTGCTTCAGTCTGTCGCTCGAATCCCGCTTGTTGGTATGCAGCTCTTGGTGCTGCAACAGCTGCTGCTGTTGCTGCTTCTGCTGCTGTAGCTGCTGCTGCTGCTGCTGCTGTCGTTGTTGCTGTTGTTGTTGCTGGGGTTCCTGCTGCTGCTGCTTCTGCTGCTGCTGCTGCTGCTGCTGCTGCTGCTGCTGCTGCAGTACCCTGATGCGTTGTTGTGCGTCTGCACCCAATAGCGCAGCTGTCTCCTTCAGGTGTCTCCTCAGCAGCAGCTTATACAGCTGGCGTTCTTGGGGGGCCCCCTCTCCCTGCTGCTGCAGCAGCAGCAGGGGCCCCCTGGCCTTCGACTCTGCTGCGCGCTGCAGGCCGATGCACAGACCGCCCAGGTCCCTCAAGGAAGCGTCTCTTAGAAACTTGCTGCTGCTGCTGCTGCTGCTGCTGCTGCTGCTGCTGCTGTTGCTGCTGCTGCTGCTGCTGCTGGAGAGCAGCAGCATCGGAAGAGACACAAAGAGGGACTCAGGGAACTGCTGCTGNTGCTGCTGCTGCTGCTGGAGAGCAGCAGCATCGGAAGAGACACAAAGAGGGACTCAGGGAACTGCTGCTGCTGCGATGACGCCAGCATAGCTGCAGCAACGTCACGACAGGTGGGTGGGGGCCCCCTGGGGGGGCCCCTTGGGGGGCCCCTAGTACCCTGGGGGCCCCCCGTCAGGGGGCCCCCCTGCTTATATAATATATTCATTTGTCCTGCATGCAGGGGCCCCTCTAGAGTTGATGTGTCTCTGCAAGAGAGGGGATCTTCATATTGATTTGCTTCTGGGGGGCCCCCGAGGGGGGGGCTTCTGGGGGGGCCCCTGGGGGGCCCCCTGGTGGGGGGCCCCTTGATGGCTGCTTGTGCGCGCTGCAGCAGCTCATCAGCAGCAGCAGCACAGAGAGAAGGAGACACATGGCTTACAGCAGCAAACGACCACAATAGATTAGCTAGTTGCTGCGGAGACAGCAGATGAAGGGCCCCCGGCAGCAGGAGACAATATAAAGAAGAATCAAAGAGACGCATAAACACCTCTCCTGTTGTCTCCTTGGGGGCCCCCCTTGGTGGTGCTACCCTGGGGGCCCCCAGGGGGGCCCCGAGGGGGGCCCCCGGAGGGGCCCCCGAAGGGACAGATGCAGAATAGCCAGGGGTACTAACACCCATGGAGGGGGCCGATGATGCTGCTGGGGGGCCCCCTTGCACCGCAGACGAACCCTCTGTCTCCTGCTGTGATATGCTGGAGTGGGGGGCCCCCAT